GCACAGCAGGCACATGGGAAGGACAGGAAGATGTGAGACTGCTGTGGCTCAAGGTCAATGTTTTCCCTGCTGGTGCCTCATTTTTCTCCTGGCAAGTGCCAGGCTCTCCCAGAAACCCTGCCTGGTGACATTGGTTCCTGATAGCTGAGCAGATAACCTTGTGTGCATATGGCTGCCAATCCAGAAGACACCCCTCAGTTCTCTGTAAAGAGAACTCCAGTAGGAAGGTCTTGAGTTAACATATGATGAGGAGCATTTCTTACTCCTGGAGACACCCTCCACCATGTAGCCAAGCGATGACCTTCCTCACGGCCGGCACCCTGGGTTCTCTGGTTGACCTCTCTTCCTGGCCTGCTCCTGGCATCCCGTCTGGTACACCTTACCATCGTTTTCAGGTTTGTAACATTGACAAGTGGAGAGAGGACAGCCCCACAGACTTTGCTTTTTTAGTGCCATATGCCCCTGTGGTGTGTATGCTAAAAAGTGCAACCACTTGCTGTCAGCCCACCTCCAGCTTCTCCACACGAGCCAAAGCTTCCCACCCACATGGTGCCATTTTACTTGAAATACTTGCACATTTTTGTAAAGCAGGGTGGATGAAATGGAAAATCATTTCATATCTTATCGTAGTAAGAAAGTGTATTTTTTCTCCCCTCAGGGGACATTTGACTGAAAGGACTAGCTACTATCTCCTTTTGATTAAATGAACAATACCAGAGTGCTCAACAAGACTGTCTTTGAGGGTGAGGGTCTTACTATCACACTTTCACAGGATCTGGTCCAGTGTAGTACATAAAAGACCATCAGTAAATATTTGTTGAACTCATAGTTTATTCACTAGTTTGAATTATACCTGTCAGTTCTTTCAGTGTGGTAGGTTTATAAGTATGTGTCTTCCAGAACCCTGGGAGAAGGGCCTTGCCCTGCTGCCCCTTCCAGATCATCCCACCGAGGTCCACCTTTGCCAACATTAGAAACAACACTTTAGAGCGCCTGAGTGGCTCAGTCGGTTAAGTGTCTGCCTTTGGCTTGGGTCTTGATCCCAGGACACTGGCATCAAGTCCTGCATTGGGCTCCCTTCTTAGCGGGGTGTCTGCTTCTCCCTCTGCCTACCCCCCACCCCCCTGCCCCTGCTTGTGCATGCTCCTGCTCTCTCTCTCTCTCAAAAATAAATAAATAAAATCTTTAAAAAATAAATTAAAAAAAGAAAAAGAAACATCACTTTACTCACCTGAGTCTAACTTGCTTCACTAATATTAGGGAGAAGACATAAGTCTCCTGGCTAAACTCAAGGGGTTGTTGTCTCGAGAATCAGATAAAATACATGGAGGTCAAAGCATTGGTCTTTGTAAATTATACAGTGCTGGGGAGATTTAAGAATGCAGAGACTGGCATCCAGCACCCAGGTTTGAGTCTTGCAATGCCGTTTATAGCCATATGACTTTGAGAAATGCACATAACTCCCCTGATTCTCAGTGGCGTCACCTGTAGAAAAGGGATACTGATACCTACCATGTGAAGTTGTGGTGAGGACTGAATGGGATAAATATGTGGGATGTACACAGAGTCTGACATAGGGAGTGTTAGAAATAAATGGTTAGTAAGATCATCATCATTAACATGAACCATCTCAAAACAAGAGTGACGCCCTGACATCGGGATCCTGGCAGATCCAAAGGTCTCCATGAAAGGAGGGTGCAGGTATGTCTCTAGGTCTCTGGTAAGTGGGGGATGGTGACAGTGGTAGCTCCTACATGAATGGTCTGGCCAGAGCTTGTTTCTCTGGGAGCAAGAACCTTTGCTACAATTAGTATAGTTAAAATTAGTGTAATTTGTAGACATTTCTGTTATAGGAGCTCATCTCTCTTATTCTGAGATCTGATGACAGAATTTGAATTCTTTATAAGTTCAAATCTTAAGCAATTTCATATTTATTTTTTAAAGTATTTTTGAAAAGCTAGGAGAAAATCACTCATTATTTTATGATTAAAGATGCATATTATATACATATTTTTGCATCAAATTTTTATTTACATTCTAGTTAACATATAGTATAACATTTGTTTTAGGTATAGAATTTAGTGACTCATCACTTACATATAACACCCAGTGCTCATCACAAGTGCCCTCCTTAATGTCCATCCCCCATTTAGCCCATCTCCCCACCCACCTCCCCTCCAGCAACCCTCAGTTTGTTTTTTATAGTTAAGAGTCTCTTATGGTTTGCCTCTCTCTCTTTTTTTTCCTCTGATTGACTTACTTTGCTTAGCATAATACACTCTAGCTCCATCCACATTGCTGCAAATGGCAAGATTTCATTCTTGTTTATGGCTGAGTAATATTCCATTGTGTATATATACCACATCTTCTTTATCCATTCATCAGTCGGTGGACACTTGGGCTCTTTCCATAATTGGGTTATTGTTGATAAAGGTGCATATTATATTTTAGCATAACTCATATTTCATTCCATTCACATTCTTCTAGCATGTAAGGTCACAGGCATCATTTTTACTATTTTTCATATTCAAGCTGAACCATGGCTCTAACTAAAAACTAGGTTCCTTTTTTTCTTCTTGTGGTGACTGATGGCCACATACATAAGGGAGGGAGAGGAGTTGAAGACCATAAAATAAATTAGACATATTCTCTGGATTAGGGGCATTCCATTAACTATCTCAGGAGCTCTATGAGATAAACATTATGTTTCCCATTTTATAGTTGAGAAACTGAAGCTCATTTTTAGTGACCTCTCCAAAATCTTACAGTTGGAGGGAAAAATAAGGACTAGAACCTAGGTCTACCCAACTGTATGCGACAGGGAATGTGGGTCTAACTTCATCAAGTAAGAGGAGAGTATCAGTGTCACTAAATATGAGAGCAGAAGTCAAAGGTACTGCCCGCTACAATCTTTGTTAATATCAGGGATTCTTGGAGAGAAAGTGACGGAATAGGAGGTTGGCTTATAAGATGTAATTTTCAAACATAAAACCATACCTTAAAGAAGACAACATTTGAACAGATAGCATTTCAGTCTTGCTCACGGGAAACATTTGCTCTGTCTCGGTAAGTGGACTTCCCTAGTTATCTGTGCCTTTATAATGCCTATGCTCTGAGCATTGGCCATATACATTTAATCACTATTTATTTATTTAAGAGAGAGAGAGAGCACAAGCATTGGGGGGAGAGGCAGAGGGAGAAGCAGGCTCCCTACTGAGCAGGGAACCCAACATGGGACTCGATCCCAGGACCCCGAGATCATGACCTCAGTCGAAGGTAGATGCTTAACTGACTGAGACACCCAGGCACCCCACATTTAATCACTTTCTAAAACTTATAGAGAGGCCACTTAATAATATTTGAGTGAAAATTGTAAAGGTAAAACATAACCTATTTTAAAATAAACTCCTCATTCTCCACATTAAAGCAGTCTTTAGACAGCAGAGCATAAAAATGGAAACCCACAGATACTGACTCTGTGCCATTCTGTACCATGTCTTCATCCAAGCACAGACAAACCATTTTCTAGCAAGAAGAAAAGAGGGGAGGATTTGGGGGGAGGGTGAGTGGGATGCTGAGAGTAAAGTGTGATCTTATGTGTCACACATTTTGAGTCAGGTCATCTACTGCCTTTACCTTGGGTACAACAATTTGGGTTTATTATCTTTATGTGACAGGACCTGAAACTCAGAAAATCATACACTGAATCCAGACTCTGGATGATCTGACTTCATAGAAGTCCTGCCTCCCAGGAGAGCCAAGGCTCTTCTGTCACTACATGTTTTAAAAGACATTTCTCATGTAGAAATTTCTGTATTGAAAGACATTCTAGCAGGTATCAATAAAAAACATTGATATTGATTTTATAGCCAAAGCCAAAGTAATTTTCCATAAGACAGTTCCTTATAAGTGACCTTTAATAACAGTCAAAGCCATAACATTAAGAAGGTACGTGGGGCATGACTGAGTTAATTACGATAAGGTCTACAAATCTGAGGTGTGTAGAAAGTAATTAACATGGATTTTCCCTACATATTCAGAGGCATTTGGCCTCTGAAAACCTGCTGATACTGTTTGGAATGTTTCATGCCCTATAGATCCCTCAGGGAGCATTCTGTAAGTAAAACAATCCTCTTAATTCAGTTTTAGTTGAAAATGGAATTGTTCTCAACTTCATGTTATAATGGAAAGAATAATTTGGGCTTAAAGGCAATGTTTTTGACCTGTTTTGAAAATTACTGTCCCCTCAGTTGGAAGAGGAAACAACTTATGTACTTTAAAAATCTCTCAAAATGAGAGTAAAGAAAAACTGAGTTATTTCTCACCTACTGTGCTAGATTACATTTAGTGCTGTGATGTGTATAAGGAAGAACTCAGCCTGCTTTATTTCCCTAATGCATTTAAGATGAAAAACTAATGGCACACTGGCAAACAAAAATCAACAAACTTAGCTGTGTTTTAGCCATTGAAATTGAATGTATTTTAAAAATGAAAACCATTTCGAATTTTCAAAAGATGTTAATTACAGTGATGGATTTCTCAAAATGACCCTGAGGAAAAGTTGAGTAAGCTTTATCTTTGTTTTACACAGGGAAAGGGAAGTAATAAAGTATGTAAAAAAATGCTTAAAGGCAAGCAACTCCAGATAGGATTAAAATGAATTGTCATTCACAAAAGAAAGACCTGTATTATGTGTAAGTCTGTCAAAAAGATCTGTATGTATATTTATTTATCTATGCTATTTTCTTCCCCTTTTTAAATTTAAATATATTTTGAACAAAGCACTAGAATAAAAGCTAAGTCAAGTCAGAGATTTTTGTCCATTTTTCCTACTACCCTTAATAACTAGAAGAGTCTTTTATATATTAGATGCTCAATAAATATGTAAAGAATAAGTGAATGAAAAACAAATTTAATAATTCAAAGGTTGTTACAAACACATTTACCCCATGGACTTGACATAAAGTTGAAGAGAAATGATCTTGCTTCTTGTCTTTTAGATACACAAAGATGAAGACAGCAACCAACATTTATATATTTAACCTGGCGTTGGCAGATGCTTTAGTTACTACAACCATGCCCTTCCAGAGCACGGTCTATCTGATGAATTCCTGGCCATTTGGGGATGTGCTGTGCAAGATAGTCATTTCCATTGACTACTATAACATGTTTACCAGCATATTCACCTTGACCATGATGAGTGTGGACCGATATATTGCTGTGTGCCACCCTGTCAAGGCTTTAGACTTTCGCACACCTATGAAGGCAAAGATCATCAACATCTGTATTTGGCTCTTATCGTCATCTGTTGGCATATCTGCAATAGTCCTTGGAGGGACCAAAGTCAGGGAAGGTAAGGGCAGTCATGTTCATCTCATTTTTAACCACCCTACTTCTAATTATACAAACTTTTAATTTGCAAGTGAGTAGGACACATATCTAGGGGAAAACCCAAAAGCCAGTGGAAATATAATGCCTAAATCCATGGAAGATGAAAAACACAACAGTTTTGTGCTTTCCATAACTAAACATAGGATGGGATAAAGACATTACCCAAACACAGATGCCCAACCTATCTGCTATTCTGGAACTGCTTATCAGAATCTGGAGGGGTGAGGATGAAGCAGGGAATCATAGGCATGTAGATTTTTAGAATAAAATCCATTGCATGCTGGCAATTGTAGGATACACCTAATCCCTCCTCTTCTTTCTCCCTAAAAAAGGACCCTAAATCATTAGAGACCTATGCTGGCTCTTTACTCTTTTTCTTTAGGGGTTAATCTCCATGATACTATCATAACAACTTCATTTGGCTGTAGGACATTCAGAATTGGGTTCACAGATGGATGACAGTACACATGAGCAAAACTTAGATTTTGGACATACTAGTTCTTACCCAATGCAAACAGGATATTTGATGTTTTCCCAGTGTTGCAACGCTAGTGGTTCTCACCCCAGGCTGCCTGTTGGAATCACCTGGGCACCTCAGAAAATACAGATGATCCTTGAATAATGTGGTGGGCACCGGTCCCATGCAGTCAAACATCCTTGTATGACCTTTGACTCCCCCAAACTTAACTACTAATAGTCTACTGTTGACCCAGAAGCCTTACTGATAACATAAACAATTGATTAACACATATTTTGTATGTTTTATGTTTATATGCTGTATGCTTACAACAAAGTAAGCTGGAGAAAAGAAAATGTTATGAAGAAAATCATAAGGTAGAGAAAATACATTTATAGTACTGCTCTGTAATGAAAAAAAAAATCTGCATATAAGTGCACCTACACAGTTCAAACCCATGCTGTTCAAGGGTCATCTATATTGCTGCCTGGGTTCCCCCCGGAGGCTCTGGTTTAATTGAACTGAGGCACAGTCTGTGTATCAAGATATTTTTAAAGATTTATTTATTTATTTTTGAAGGAGGGTGGGCATAGGGAGGGGGAGAGAGAAACCCAAGTGAACTCCATGTTGAGCATGGAACCCAATGTGGGGCTCAATCCCAAGATCCTAGCTGAAACCAAGAGTCAGATACCTAACCATCTGTGCCACCCAGGTACCCCTGGGTGTCAAGATTTTTAAGATGTCCCCAGGTGACTCTGACCTGCAGCCAGGGTGAGAACTACTGTTGCAGCAGTTTTGCTTTACTAGTAAAAGTAAAACTATGAAAATATCTTTGGTCTTAGTAGAAATTCATTGGGAAGAGGGGAGCAGAACTTTGGACTTCATAAATGCTATTTATTGCTGTAGCAGTTCTCCGAAAGGTCTAGTTTGTTAGGGAGGCTCATGATACCTGTAAATACAGATAATTGAATATGTGTAGTAGGGACCTACCAGATCATAGAAAGGGCAGGTGCTAAAATCATAGCTTATCTGGCATAGTCCACATTTGTAATGAAACACAATCTTTTCCCTCTTAAACTATAAAATGAATTTCCAGCTTAGCTGTGGAAGGTGTTAAGCTATAATACTTGGTAAATTTTAAGATATGCCAATATTTATCAGAGAAGCATTTTAAAATATGATTAATTACACACAGGATTTCGTTTCTTCATGCATACAAAAAATGGAAAAGTTGCAAGAAGCTCTTTCTAGCTTAGGGTGTTGATACTTAATAACTGGATTCAAGAGGAGAGGCTGCATATACACCATGAGGACTAGAAGAATAGGCCATGTAATAAAAGAAGATGGCGATTTTACCCAGGGCAAATGAAGAACTGATTTTGATATTTCATGACATACTTGCAGACTTAGCCACTACACTCCTCTAATCATTGTCAGAAAAATGACATCCTAGAAGCAATGGATTTCAATTCAGTTTCTGAAAGACGAAATGAAGATAGAGGTAGGTTTTCCAGGAAGAAATTGCTGTAGATGAATGTGTGCAGATGCCATGGAAGAAAGGATCCACTAGTGTCGGGAGATTCTTTCTTTGTTTTTTCTTTTCTTTTCTTTTTTTTTTTTTAAAGATTTTATTTATTTATTTGACAGAGAGAGACACAGCGAGAGAGGGAACACAAGCAGGGGGAGTGGGAGAGGGAGAAGCAGGCTTCCTGCCGAGCAGGGAGCCCGATGCGGGGGCTCGATCCCAGGACCCTAGGATCATGACCTGAGCCGAAGGCAGATGCTTAACGACTGAGCCACCCAGGCACCCCGTTTCTTTTATTTTCTAAAGTAGATTTTGTTTATGTGTTGAAAGGTTGTCTCTGAACCATTTAGTACGCTCATTTTTGAGTGCTGGGCGACAAGTCAATTCTTGGATGACCAAGAGGAGTATTGGAGTATGCAGAATAGCATCGATAGCGGTAGAACCTATGCTGCGTAGTGGATCTACAGAACTTTTTTACTTGTGTAATGGTACTCTTTGACCTTTGCCTCCCATCCCTCCTGCCCCAAGCTGCTGGAAACTACAGTTCTACTCTCTGCTTCTGTGAGATTCCATGTATAAGGGAGATCATTTAGTATTTGTCTTTCTGTGTCTGGCTTATTTCATTAAGCATAATGTTCACCAGGTCTCTCCATGTTGCCACAAATGGCAGGATTTCTTTCTTTTTAAAAACTGAATAATATTCCATTGTGTGTGTGTATATACACACCATACACCACATTTTCTTTATCCATTCATCCATTGGTGGACATTTAGGTTTTTTTTCCCCATATCTTGGCTATTGTAAATAATGCTGCAGTGAACATGGGAGTGCAGATATCTTTGATATATTGATTTCACTTCCTTTGAATATATACCAAGAAGTGGAATTACTGGATTATATGATATTTCTATTTTTAACTTTTTGAGGAACCTCCATATTGCTCCCCATAGTGGCAGCACCAATTTGTGTTCCCATCAACAGAGGTTCCGTTTTCTCCACATCCTTGCCAACACTTATCTTTTTGTTTATTTTTGATAATAGTCACCCTAGCAGGTATGAAGTGATAGCTCATTGTGGTTTTGATTGGCACTCCTCCAATGAATAGTGGTGTTGAACACCTTTTTATAATCCTGTTGGCAGTTTGTATGTCTTCTTTGGAGAAATGTCTATTTAGGTTCTTTGCCCATTTTAAATCAGGTTATTTGCTTTCCTGCTATTGAGTTGTATGATTTCCTTATATATTTTAGATATTACCCCTTAACAGATACATGATTTGCAAATATTTTCTTCCATTCTGTAAGTTGCCTTTTCATGTTGTTTCCTTTGCTGTGCAAGAGGTTTTTTTGTTTGTTTTGGATTTTTTTTGTTTTTGTTTTTGTTTGAATTAGTTTGATGTGATCTCATTTTTTTATTTTTGGTTCTGTTGTTTGTGCTTCTGGTGTCATATCCAAAAAAAAAAACAAAAAAAAAAACCTCATTGCCAAGACCAGAAGCTTTTCCCTTATGTTATCTTCTAGAAGTTTTATGGCTTTGTTTACATAAGTCTTTAATCCATTTTGAGTTGTTTTTTGTGTATGGTGTAAGATAAGGGTCCAATTTCATTCTTTTGTGTATGGATACCCCATTTTCCCAGCACCATTTATTCGAGAGCCTGTCCTTTCCCCACTTTCTATTTGTGGCACCCTTATTGAAGATTACTTGACTATGTATATGTGTGGGTTTATTTCTGGGCTTTCTATTCCATTCCATTGGAATATGTGTCTTTTTTTTATGCCAGCACCAGACTGTTTTGATTATTATAGCTTTGTAATATAATTTGAAATCGGGAAGTGTGATACCTCTAGCTTTGTTTTTGCTCAAGATTGCTTTGACTCTTCAGGGTCTTTTGTGGTTTCATATGAATTTGAGGATTGTTTTTTCTTACTTTTGTTTTGTTTTGAGAGAGAGAGTGAGTGAGTGCGGGGTGGGGAGAGGCAGAGGGAGAGGGAAAGAGAATCTGAAGTAGGCTGCATGCTCAGTGCGGAGCCTGACACGGGGCTCAATCTCACAACCCTGAGATCATGACCTGAGCTAAAATCAAGAATTGTACACTTAACTGACTGAGTCACCCAGGTGCCTCTGAGGATTTTTTTCTATTACATTGAAAAGTGCCATAGGGTTTTGATAGAGGTTGCACTGAATTTGTAGATTGTTTTGTGTAGTATAAACATTTTAACAATATTAATTCTTCTGTTATCTGATTCATGAACATAGGATATCTTTCCATTTATTTGTATCTTCTTAAATTTCTTTCATCAATGTTTTACAGTTATCAGTATGCAAATATTTTATATTTATTTACAGATTTATTTCTAAGTGTTTTATTCTTTTTGATGGTAAAAAAATGGTATTGTTTTATTTCTTTTTCAGATAGCTTATTGTTAGTGTATAGAAATGCAACCAATTTTTGTATGTTGATTTTGAACTTTTGAACTTTGCTCAATTAGTTTTTACTAATAGTGTTTTAATGGAGTCTTTAGGGTTTTCTATACATAAGATTGTGTCATCGCCAAACAATTTTATATCTTTCTTTCTGATTTGGATGCCTTTTATTTCTTTTATTGCCTAAGTGCTCTGGCTAGGACTTCCAGTAATATGTTGAATAAAAGTGGTGAGAGTGAGCATCTTTGCTTTGTTCCTGATCTTAGAGGAAAAGCTTTCAATCTTTCACCATTGAGTGGGATGCTAGCTGTGGGCTTGTCATATATGACCTTTATTATGTTGAGGTACAGTCCTTCTATACTTAATAGTTGAGAGTTTTAATCAGGAATAAATGTTGAATTTTGTTAAATATTTTTCTGCATCTATTGAGATGATCTTTTGACTTTTAATTTTTCATTCTATCACATTATTTGATTTGTGTATGTTGAGCCATACTTGCATCCCAGGGATAAATCCCACTTGATTATAATATATGATTCTTTTCATGTGCTGTTGAATTTTGTTTGCTAGTGTTTTATAGGACTTTTGCATCTCTGTTCATCAGGGATATTGTGGTATGCTTGTGGTATCAGGGTAATGCTGGCCTTGTAAAATGAGTTTTGAAGTATACTTTCTTCAACTTTTGAAAAAGTTTGAAATGGATGTTTAAATATCCTTTTTAAATGCTTGATAGAACTCACCAGTGAAACCACCTGGCACTTGGTTTTCCTTTGTTAGGAGGTTTTTGATGTCTCAATCTATTTGTTACTGGTCTGTCAGATTTTCTATTTCTTTATGATTCAGTCTTGTAGGTTGTAAGTTTCTAGGAATTTATCCATTTCTTCTAGGTTATCCAATTTCTTGGTATGTAATTGTTTATAGTAGTCTCTTATGATCCTTTGTATTTCTGTGCTATCAGTTATTATGTCTTTTCTTTCATTTCGTCTTTTCTCTTTTTTTTCCTGTCTAACTAAGGGTTTGACTTTGTTTACTTCAAAAAGCCAACTGTTTTTTTCTACCATTTTTCTGGTCTCTATTTCATTTATTTCTCTTTTTTAAAATTTTATTTTATTATGTTATGTTAGTCACCATACAGTACATCATTAGTTTTTGATGTAGTGTTCCATGATTCATTGTTTTTGTATAACACCCAGTCTCCATGCAATACATGCCCTCCTTAACACCCATCACTGGGCCAACCCATCCCCCCACCCCTCACCCCTCTAATACCCTCAGTTTGTTTCTCGGAGTCCATAGTTAGTCTCTTACGGTTCATCTCCCCCTCCGATTCCCCCCCTTCATTTTTCCCTTCCTTCTCCTAATGTCCTCCATGTTATTCCTTATGTTCCACAAATAAGTGAAACCATATGATAATTGACTTTCTCTGCTTGACTTATTTCACTTAGCATGATCTCCTCCAGTCCCAACCATATTGATATAAAAGTTGGGTATTCATCCTTTCTGATGGCTGAGTAATATTCCATTGTATATATATGGACCACATCTTCTTTATCCACTCATCTGTTGAAGGACATCTCAGTTCTATTTCATTTATTTCTGCTCTGTTCTTTATTTCCTTCCTTCTACTAACTTTGGGCTTTGTTTGTTCTTCTTTTTCTAGTTCCTTAATCTGTAAAGTTAGGTTATTTATTTGAGATCTTTCTTTTTTCTTAATGTAGGTGGTTATCACTATAAACTTCCCTCCAAGAACAGCTTTTGCTACATCCCATAATTTTGGTATATTGTATTTCTATTTTTATTCATCTCAAGCTTTTTTAAATTTTCCTTTGATTTCTTCTTTGACCCATTGGTTGTTCAGGAGTGTATTATTTAATTTCTACAGATTTGTGAATTTTCCAATTTTCCTCCTGTTTAATGTCTATTTTTATGTGGTCAGAAAAGATAGTTGATATGATTTCGATCTTCTTAAATTTGTTAAGACTTGCCTTGTGGCATAACATATGTTCTATACTGGAGAATATTTCATGTGCAATTGAGAATAATGTGTATTCTGTTTCTCTTGAATGAAATGTTTTGTATATGTCTGTGAAGTCCATTTTATTTTTTTAAAGATTTTATTTATTTATTTTGGTGGGGAGGAGCAGAAAGGAAGGAGGGGGAGGAGAAAAGACTCTCAAGCAGACTCCACACTGAGTGCAGAGACCCACACAGGCCTCAGTTTCATGACTCATGTGATCATGACCTGAGCCAAACCAAGAGTCAGATGCTTAATCTACTGAGCCACTCAGGTGCCATGCCCCCTCCCCATTTAATTTATAGTGTTGTTCAAATCTGCTGTTTCCTAACTGATTTTATATCTGGATGATTTATCCATTGTTGAAAGTGGGATATAGACGTGCCCTATTATTGCTATTTCTGTCTCCCTTCAGTTCTGTTAATATATGCTTTATATATTTAGCTGTTCCAATGTTGGGTGCCTATAGATACTTAAAATTGTTACATCCTTTTGATGACTTGGTCCTTTTATCATCATATAGTGACTTTGTTTTTCTCTTATGACAGTTTCTAAGTTGTAGCCAGTTTCGTCTGATGTAAGGACAGCTACTTCTGCTCTCTTTTGGTTTCCATTTGCAAGGAATATCTTTTTCTATCCTTAACTTTCAACCTATGTGTGTCATTAAAGCTAAAGATGCGTTCGTTTTCCTGAAAGAGAACATTTAATAAAAATGGTGCATGTGGACTTGAATTTCATTGATGATTGCCTCAGTACTCTGCTTTCTCTTTGTTGGTATAAGCTTAGCTTCACTGATATTTCTGGAGGATATTTCTAACCCTATCACTGAATGTTTTCCAAAGTCTTGTAAAAGTAGCTGTAGTTGATATTTCACCCATTCAGCAAATATTTATTGAGCTCCTACAACATGCAAGACAATTTGTTCAAGAGGAATCTGATTAAACATCAGCTCTTATGTTGCCTTACTTATCTCAGCAGATTGCTCTTCCATAATAACTACTGTAATCAGTCCCCATTTTCAAGGGTTTCCATGTGGTATTCATTTATTCACTTATTTAACAATTTGTACTCCTTAAGCACCTTATGTTCTTATTTAACGGTTTGTATTCCTTAAGCATCTTATGTTCTTGCCACCCTATGTGGCAGGGATTATATATTGAATAAAGCAGGCTGGTTATCCACCCTAAGGTAGTTTGCATTCTGGATGGAGAGAAAAATGCCAGGAAAGGTAACATTATTACAGAAGAGCTTCTGTCTAGCTTCTGTCATTATATAATGGTTAAAAAATAAGTTGAGTATAATATATAGAGAGAATACAGTTGCAAGGGAGAGAACTATTTAAATGGATCAGCCTCTGTATAAATGTCTCTGATGTGACATTTAAGCTGAGGCCAACCTCAAGAAAGAGACAATGTTGGAATACAAAAAATTAAGCATGGAAAAGACAAAACAAAACTAAACGTCTTCCCTACCTTCAAGGAGACTAGATTCAATAGACAAATCAAATCCAGACTAGTATATTTTTAAAATCAGATTTTTCACAATGTGCACCTGTCAAAAGTTGTTTAATACTTTTTTTAATGATTAATATTGATGATTTAAAAAAAGATTTTAACTGTTAATATTCCCATAAACACTAAAAGCACAGGGGCGCCTGGGTGGCTCAGCCATTAAGTGTCAGCCTTCGGCTCAGGTCATGATCCCCGGGTCTTGGGATCGAGCCCTGCATTGGGCTCCCTGCTCAGCAGGAAGCCTGCTTCTCCCTCTCCCACTCCCCCGCTTGTGTTCCCTCTCTTGCTGTGTCTCTCTCTGTCAAATGAATAAATAAAATCTTAAAAAAAAACTAAAAAAACACTAAAAGCACAAATTTAAAAAGATCCTTGTTTGTTTCTAATACTCTTCATAGTAATAGTACTTTAAACAATGATTTTTTTAGAGAATCAAAAATTCTGAGTTATTCCGGAAGTTTGCATTTACTAATGAAAATTTTGATCTGGTATCTAGTTGATAAAAGAGAGGTTTCTAAGGTAGTCATCTTTATTAATTGGGCAAAATAATTATATTCTTTGTATTGTAAGTATGTCTAATTGAAAGTCTAAGATGGTACATTTGGTTTTTACTAAGAGATATTTGATTAAGATCACATAAAAATGTTTTAGAAAATATAAATAGAGCTGTTTCACTAAAAAATATTCTTGTCCTATTTTTGAAGCAGATTTTCCTGATATCAGAAGAAAATATCATAATAAAAATTATGCTCTTCTTATTGCTCATGATTACTTTATTGGTAGGGAAAGATTAGATTAGGACAAAGAGTTTTGCCTGCTGTGAGCTCAATGACCTCTCAGAGGGAAGAGGAAAAAATGTGGACTGGTTGATGCTTGGGGAGGAAGGGAGCCCCAGAGGGATGAGCAGGCCCCCAAGGAAAGTATCAAAAAAGTGCTTATACTGGGTCTCTGTTCTTTCTGGTCTCTGCTCTTTCCAGTATGAAGGTCACTCCAAAGAGAATACTATCCAGCAAAGAGAAGCAGAGCAAATAACATAATTTTCCAAGTAATCAAATAAAGTATTTGTTTTATCTGTTACATAGTCAGTGTTGGTAAAAATGAAAAATGTGTCTCACTTATGAATTTCCTTGATGATGGTGCTAATAAGGATGATTTTCTTCCTCCTTTTTCTCCCTTTCCTTGTTCGTTTTTTTTTTTTCTTCCTTCTCCAAAAGTTTACTCATGTTTCAACAACACCCTTAATCAATTGATTCCATTAAGTCACAACTCCTGGGTCATATTTAAACACACTTTGTACAGATTTTTACTGACCCACATAATGCTTTCTTGTAAATCACTTGATGTTTTGAGACAAGTTGGCTTTTGCTAGATTTGGAATATTTAGTCATTTATTACAAATAGACACTAGCTTTTATTGTCAGAGCCTTAGGTCTGGAGAATTGTTAGTGAATGGAAATGCACGTAAGGGCTTATGCTATATTACCAATTTAGCTCTTCTGAAAGTCATCCACGTTAAACTGGTTTCCACAACTACATAATTCATATTGCTAGCTAGTAATATGTATTTCATAGCATTGCGTATGTTACCAATAAATGGTGACTTTCTGGCTTCATTGATCTAAGCACAGATAGGATGGTTAATATTATACATAGCATTCATTCATAATTTGGTCATCTACTTCAGGTAATATCATCTCACCGTAATTGGACCTTTGTACCCAAACGTATTAAAACTCACTTTTAGAATACTTTGCAGCCACAGTAATAAGAAAATATTTTCTTTTTGTGCTTTCATTTGTTTTGTTCACCTTGTCCAGATGTGGATGTCATAGAGTGCTCCTTGCAGTTCCCGGATGATGATTACTCCTGGTGGGACCTCTTCATGAAGATCTGTGTCTTCGTCTTTGCCTTTGTGATCCCTGTCCTCATCATCATCATCTGCTACACTCTGATGATCCTGCGCTTGAAGAGTGTCCGACTCCTTTCTGGCTCCCGAGAGAAAGATCGCAACCTTCGTCGGATCACCAGGCTGGTCCTGGTAGTGGTGGCAGTCTTTATCATCTGTTGGACCCCCATTCACATTTTCATCCTTGTGGAGGCTCTGGGGAATGCCTTTCACAGCACAGCTGCCCTTTCCAGCTATTACTTCTGCATTGCTTTGGGTTACACCAACAGCAGCCTGAACCCCATTCTCTATGCCTTTCTTGATGAAAACTTCAAGCGGTGTTTCAGAGACTTCTGCTTTCCAATTAAGATGAGGATGGAGCGACAGAGTACTAGTGGAGTCAGAAATACAGTTCAGGATCCTGCTTATGTGAGGGATGTTGATGGGATAAATAAACCAGTATGACTAGTCGTGGAGATGTCTTCTTATAGTTCTTCAGGAAGAGAAGAGTTTAATGATCTTGGGTTAACTCAGATTAGTACTGAAGTCTGAGATGGAAGGTAGAATTTTTAACAAACTTTTAGAAATCTCATGGTCTGAAATCATAAGATGCAGGCTGTGTTAGCCACCCAGGTCAGTGGAAGCATCAAGGCTGTAGGGATGGAGTATAAAAGATTCAAGTAAGCAAATACAGCCCCTTTATAAGGCAGGGAAGCAAGGCTGACTCCCAGTTCCTTTGATGAACAAAGAAATAAGCCTTTTTCTTCTGGTTACCTAGATTTAGTCCAGGACCCATCTGCTCTGGCCTTTCCATGCAATGTGGTTCTAAAAGCTCTGTTTAAAAAAAAGGACAAGGAAAAAATTCTTGGTTTCAGAGCATGGTAGGTGTCCAATCCAGATGCTTTACATTGACAACAACCTGAATAAAAACAAGAACCATTTCCAGGGCATGTGCCCAGCTCACTTTATGCTACATGGATACACATTTCATGTGGCTGTATAGTGACGATTCTGGCTTAAGTATGGCTTGGACCCACACCTGAGGTATCTGATGTTCATGTGTAATAGGAAATTATCTTGATATTTATGAAGTTACTTAAACATGCAAAAGGTGATTTTCAACATAGTTTAATTTCTTAAAAGGCACAGTTTGTTTCGCAGCATGCTATTCAGATAAATAATTTCATGGTAAAGCATGTCCTGATGTCAAGAAATATAAAGTGGTTTAAATCCACTGAAAGTATATGTATTTCATCTGTAAATAATAGTATATGTGCAAATAAGGACTGGGCTTGCCTTCCAGTCAGGCACGTTCCCGAGGACACATTAACAATATTGCCTGAGTTATTGACAGTTGATGCAGAGACATTTTGTGGCAACATGAGTTTCTTTCTGGGAATCGGTCAGGCACCGTCTCTTTCAGACCCCTGAGCACCATTTAGGCCTTTAGTGGTGCTCTTAAATCATGTGTTAAACAACCACAAAATATTCACTCATTCCCAGGTTATTGACTTGGCAGAATCTAATTTATATGCAGCATCCTTCATGAATATATAGCTGTTACCAAATTTTCTATCTGTGGAGGGAGGGCGTTTTGCTCATGTTAATCTTGGGCTAGGATCTTGTGGCTTTTGGCAGGAAGTAGAAATGTTCCTAATTGTGGGCTGAACAAGGACCTTATGTCACCCGTGGTGCTTGGACATACCTTGCACTGTGTTCTGTGAAGAGCATACTAGCTAAGGATCATGCCACAAGTAGCACATTTAGGATAATTTTGCTAAAACTTCCAGATGATATATTAATTCCCTCATCTTTCCCCTGAAACTTATGATTTCAGAGGTAATGGCTTTTTTTGTAATTTGCCTGGGCAGAAGAAAGGGATAATTTAGAAATAACCCCTGTCTCCTCTTCTTTAAGCCTATATGTTATCAAGGCAGCACCCCCTGGACTTTAATGGGAAAATCAAATTTATAGACCTACATCCTCATAGACATCATTACATCTCTAATTTCTGTTCCCTGTGTACTTTCTGTCTTGTGTATATACTCATTCCTTTTGGAAACAAACCTTGCATTGAAGCCTTTATATGTGGCTTCAGAATTTTACTATGATGATGTTTGTGTACATTCCAGATTTTCATGGCATCTAACAGATGATTTACGGCAGAAAGACAAAGTTCTTCTGAATGAACCCAAAGTGCTCTTTTGAGCATTTCTAAAATTTCAGTGATTTTCTTTGGTGCCCTTGTATTCTTATAACTAAATGTAAATAGGAATAGCTTAAATATTGGTCGGCATTCATCCCATGATTAAAAATCTTGGCTACCATATAGAAGGGATATTTATACAGAGAGTAACTTCAGGAACAAGCCCTACTGATGTGAGAAATTTACAAATCTCTTTATGGAACAGTAAGACCCAGGAGATTTTCTTGATTCTTATGCAGTGCACAAATATACAATCATGGAATAAAATTATAGTAATTATAGTAATGGGTTCTCTTTCACTTAGCACCCCATGTGCCCTTATGGCATCTGTTGCCATTATTGGAGTCTGAACTTTGGCCAGATTATCCTGCATGTCTTTATATCTATGTTTGCAGCCCGTGGAGAGAGAGAAGTAGCTGAGTGCTCATGAGAGGTGTTCTAAGTTCTCTGTTACTGTGAGAACCAATTTCCCTAAACTGGAGGAAGAGAGAGTAGCTTTGTCATTTTAGGGCACTGCTTTTAGGAATGAAAAAGTGAGTCATATATGTTAGAGAAAATACCACTTACACAAAAGTATTCATTTGTCAAAAGTGTGTATGTGTGCATACGTGTGCATGCATGTGCGAGTGTGTGTGCATAAGTATGTGTGTGTGCTCATGTGGGCATGCATATGTGAAAGTGTGAATATATGTTTTCTGTGTGTGAATTGTGGGTGTGCATGCCTGCGTGTGTGTGTGAATATATGTGTGTGATTGTGTATGTATGCACATGTGGGTATACATGTTTGTGCGTGTTAGTTTGCATATGTGTGTGTGCATGCATGTGTGAGTGTGAGTAAATGTGTTTACATGTGTGTGATTATGTGTGCACATGCATGCATGTGTATGAGATGATGTATGTTTGTGTCCCATGTCTTGATATTCCTGCTCTCTCATAACAGCAAGGAGGGCACACTGTTTGCTGTGTTTCTTTGAGACCAGAACTGTGTGTATTGAACCTCAAGATCAATTCTACATATATTCCATCCTCCCACCCTGGTGACTTCTGGAAGATAAGATCTAGTGAAGGTCATAAAAAGATACAGAGAAATGAAACAGCCATGCAGGAGGCAGCAATGAGGGTGAAAACCCATAATTCTATCTGGGAGGAGACTGGCATTAGTGTCTCAGAAATGCTCTTAAGAATCTAAAATTATCCCCTATGCAAAGAGCTTAAGTCAAAAATCAAAGCATAATGCTACAAAAGAAACACAGTTTAGAAAGTTAGTTTTGAAAAAATCAAGGAATATTTACATAAATCTTAAGAAAGTGGTTCCATTCTATGATGTATTACTGAGAAATACAAGTTCTTAAATCTGTAGAACCATTATCGGACAATTTATAGATGTTTCATCTAGTATTAGGATGCAATAAGATGAATAACTGGAATAAAAGGAATACATTTTATTGGTATTCCTTATTGGCTGGCTTTAAATTAGACCCTTTTAAGGAGAAAACTATGACAAGACTGTATGTCTATCCAATGAGATTTATTTTCTAAATAAGAACTGTTTGGAAGATTCAGGATAAATATGAAAATCCTATCCCAAAAGGACATAAACCTGTTTGCTCTGAGGCAGTTTTCTTCTCTGAAACAAAAGTATACTCATATATTCTTTATTGTATATATTTATATCTTGTAATTTTGGAAGGTGATAATTATGCATTGTATATAAGATTGTCTGTCTTGCAATAAAATAAAAATTGCACCTGCTCAAAACACAGCAGTCGATTACTGTGGTAAATCATTTATTTAATGGCTTTGATGATGCTGTACTTCAGTAAGAACAATGTTACCTGTTTCTCAAAACTAAAAACAGTCTCTTTGATTTTTCATCCATGACAATCTCGTGGATAATTAATGGAAAGGAACAAAACATATAAGGATCTAAACCATGATGCTAAATTCCAAAACCTACAATCACTTAGGAAAATTCGCATCTTTCCACAGTTATGCTGTCAAGATCCCAGAATCAATGTTATACACAGCCTTCCCTACGGAAAACCACTTTTTCATTATGGAAAATATTCAAAATTAAAAATGAAACTTTCCCATCAATAAAAACATAAAGAAATCACACTCTCCTGCCCCCTTCCAAAACAATATAACTACATTACCACCATAAATTACCTGTTTCTAAGCCTCATGGTATTTGTACACATAGAGAGTAATTTAAAAACCGGTATCTTGACAAAAGAAGGATTTTTTTTTTTTTGGTAAATAGAAACAAACAGGGAAGGGAAGTCAAAGAGGGACTCCTCTTGCTAATTGGAGAGAACATACTAGCAGGTTCTACTTTCATTTAAAACAGCAAATTTCTTGTTACAAACTTTACCTTTGATAACTCAATTTCATTTGGGATTGGATATCAAGTATAAATTGGACTGGAGAGAAAACTATGCAGCAAATTTTAGGCATTATGATATCTTCTCCTCTCTATAATTAATTTGCTGCACTGTACATTCCTACAGATAGTCTCGAGGTTTGTAGAAACTAGTTGATAATAAAAACAAATATAACTAATTTTTTCAATAACCGTTGCTTGAGAGGATGTTCAATCATATTTGCATCAGGAATTATGCCAGATTCTGCATAGATAAACAAAACAGACACAATTTTGATATGTCTACGGAAAACAAGCAATTAAGGAAATAATTACAATGTATTGCAATGAGTGCACACCTTAGTGGATACAACCTATTCTAAAAGGTTTACCCATTTATGTAGACATACTTTTAAAAATGCTTTATCTATGTCTATACACTGCACCTGAAACTACTAGAAAAGTTAGAATAACAGTATTCTTACATATGAAGATAGTTAAAATGGCAACTACTAGTAAAAACATAAGTGACTTTGTGGATTTTAAATAGTCGAGGAAGGCTATATGTTGAAAGCCAAATCAATTAGTAACAATATAGTCTTGGAATTATACCAGAGGATTAGACATTGATAATTATGAGCTGTGCTATAAAGGTGTTCGTAAAACACAGACCAAACTACTGGGTCTAGTATAGTTACTTTCAACAATTTTTAATGAAACTAGGGAGGAAAGAGTTAAAATAGCTGGTTTACAACCAATTCATTCCCCTTGTGGAGGAGCCCTCTTTACGGGTGGGACAGGAACAAAGATCAGTAACTGCCTAATATCCTCAACTGGACCTGTGATAAATAATGATTTTTGCCTGGTAGAAGAGACCTTATCTATAGAATGCCTTTAGCAGGATGTCCCTGGCTAGAGTTTAT